ACACATTAAAAATTTTTCGTAGGAAGCGCCATCTAAACATGGACGTACTTAAAAATTTTCTTTTCCCTAAAATTGATTTCAAAAGAGACATTATTCGCGCCAAAATTTGACTCCCGTATGGTAAACACTTATAGAGTACCGAAGTGTGACGTCATAGAAAATGAAATTTGTGAAATTATGGGATTTGTTAAGATATTCTGAAAGAACAACGTCCAAGACGCCTACTCGCCAAAAATTAGCAATTCGGAGCAAATTGTCTCTGAGATATTAGCCCAGTTATGCTGTGACGATTCCATACAAATCCTCCTAAATTTGGCTTGGTTCATAAGATTAGGAACCAGGTAAGATTTAGAAGGATTTGTATGGAGTCATCGGAGCATAACTGGGCTAATATCTCAGAGACAATTTGCTCCGAATTGCTAATTTTTGGCGAGTAGGCGTCTTGGACGTTGTTCTTTCAGAATATCTTAACAAATCCCATAATTTCGCAGATTTCATTTTTATGACGTCATCACTTCGGTACTCTATTGGCTAATAACATGACAGGTCAAGCAGACGTTAGATTATGTAAATTAGGGGGCGGTTGACTGCTTGTTAGATAAATGTATCAGGCGTTATTTTTTTTCCCTCTCGAGCCAAAGAAGCAAAGAAGCAAAAAATAATAATAATAATAATAACGCCTGATCTCAGGTTAAGCCACCTTAGGCTAAAATAGCAAAAATGTAGCCAAACCTTTGAGATTCTAATAGCCTTTCCAGACTTGTTGGACTGGCGTGCACTTTTAACATATGTGGGTTGAGTTTATTGTTGATTCTCTGGTTTGCTCTGAGAGGTTTTTATCCAGGTACTCTGGTTTTTCTGATGTTGTGAAAGAGTGCTGTTGGGTCGCGGTTGGCCATGACGGTTTTGTTGATCTCTTCATATGGGGTCAAAGTCACCACATAATTGCTGATGTAGTAACTGGTCATGTTGATGTACCTCATGTATTGATCCTTCTCCTGGGCTGACAACTTGAGGAAATTTTTGCGATTCAGGGTTTTTTCTGTGCCTAGTCTTTGCCATAGTAGGCAAACTCGCACTTGCTGAAGTCATATCCAGCAAAGTTTGAATTGCATTTGCACGTTTTATGGTAAAGAGCATGAGGCCAGTTATGGCGCTCGTCGCCTTTCTGGAAAGGTTGGTTATGACTGTACTTGAAGGAGCAATCATGAATGATGAATTCCTGGCATGTACCTCTGTTTCCATCGTTACCGCATGGCGCACTAAAGCCTTTTGGGATTGGATAACATTTCTTGTTTTTCAGACTCGTCAGGGATGTATAAACTTTAGGGAACGTGCCTTCAGCACAGGGAAAGGTGAAAATAATAACGACAAGACACTGGTGATGATGCGGCAGCTCATCTTACTCGTGTATTCCTGAATGAAGAAAATGATATTGTTCATTAACGATACCTAAGTACTTTATACGCCTGGGTCCAATGGTTTTACCTGTGGAAAATGATTTATTGCTTATAACTTCGGCAAAGAGGATGGAACTGAATCGAAATTTGAGACACAAATAACCCACCGTCCTTAGCATTTTAAAGTATAAATATTGTGTCGGTAAGACACGTGATATATCACGTGACAATTTTTTGGAAAATGTTGAATAATTGACAAATGGACAAATTGATGTCGGGTTTGGGAGAGAAAATAAGTAATAACATTAAAGCTTCACGTTTGAATTGAATGCCCATTGCACTTCAATAATAGATTAGTATGTGCAATCAAATGGTGATGAGTGAAATTAGGGAATAATTTCACGCGCGTTTGGGCAAAACGCAAGTGAAATTATTCCCTAATTTCACGAGTATACCATTTGATTACCTGTTAATATCATAGGTGACGAATTACGTTAGCAATCTTGGATTTTTGACATGTTTATCCTGGATCGTATCGATCGAGAACTCCACTCTCTCAAATATTTAGACCTTAAATTTGGCTTATAAAGTTCAGAATTTTTCAGACTTTTTCGGCAAAATACCTGTTAGAATCCTTCTTGATCTTCTCTTGTGTGTTCAGGTTTTCTAAGGCGTCTTTTTGTGCCCTGACATCTTCATTCACGGCATTTTAAAACTTCGTCGCCATCTTGACACTGAGACGTACGGCAGGTTGCCATGGCAATTAAATAATTTCACATGTGAAATTACAAATTAACGCTGAAATTTCGCGCCAAAATTAAGGAGTAATTCGTCACCTATGATATTATAAAGGCAACCATCACTTTGAATGGCTAAATGCAATCTTAAATCATTCAAACGTAAAAAGTAAAATATGTCTAACCTCTATGAGGAAATTCAATTCAAGGAAAGTAAACTCGCCATCAATTCCCCAATTTCCTTTTACAACGAGCATGTCACATGACCATAATTATAAGGTCCAAGAAGACCTCACCATTTCTACTTGGGGGAACTCTTGTCTTCTTCTAGGTAACATAGCGAGGATATTGCAAATTAATCAGAGCTGTTTCGCCCTATGCATAGTGATGAGTAGCCACTTTTCCCATCGCTTTGTTATTTTTGTTCTGTTTTTCCTTTATTTTGGTACCACTGGTATTCCAAGCGATATCAAGCTATGTCTAACCGTTCGGAGCACAACTTTGAACGATTTCTCTTCCAGAACGACCACCACTTCCGTAGAGAATCCTGGTTTCGAAATCTGGTTGGAGCTGAATTCGCTTTATGAATAATCTACCGCTTATTCTGCCAACAATAGGACGGATTCCTTGCATCACAAGCTATTGTCATACCGGCAGAATCGGAATGATGCAAAGATCTATTCAGGCGTTCAAGTTGCTATTTTAACACTCGCACGGAAATTCAAGCGTGGCAAACACCCGTGTACATATTACTCAAATTGAATCCTGGGCCTACAAATAATGACGACCAGTCAACTATCTCAACTCATTGTTCTCGTGGGCGCTGTGCTACGTTGTCTACCCGGTCAGCAGTCTTATCTTTTGCGCCAAATGTCAATCGATTGCCTTTTCACAACACTTCACACAGGATACCTGTCCACACCACAAGTATGCGTCGGCGTGATTATAATCGTTCCTATATGATTGCCAATTTAAATAATATTCCCTCTCTTAACCGTGTTAGCCAAGTTCCCAATTCGCGGTTCTGCAAGAACTTTACTTCGTGTCTCTTAAATGCTCGATCGGTCTGCAACAAAACTTTGGTTATCAAAGATTTTGTTGTTGATCATGCAGTTGATTTGTTGGGTATCACGGAAACATGGTTGCATCTGAAGGGAGATGACGTTACAATTGGAGAGCTCTGCCTGAGTGTTTACCGTTTTGTTCACACTCCGGACCGGCGGGGACTGGTGGGGGTGTAGTTCTTCTCTACAAACAAGGCTTTTGTACTAAGACACGAATTTGCAAGCATTCTTTTAGGTCATTTGAATGTATGGACGTTACATTTAATATATATATTTAGCCAGGGCTATCTGCAGAAGCTTGTGGATTGCAGGACGACGTGATCCTACTTTGTTTGGCGCCGTCTACGACACCACGACGACGAAATTTACTGGTCGCGCTAGCGCAGTACACTGTAACTCACTTCCGGTCGTCGTCAACAAAGTCGTCGTCGTGGTTCTTAAGTTCCCTATTTTCCAAAAATGGACGTGTGTCCCTGAAAAAAAGTCCAAGTATAGTCCCTTAGCCAGATAAGCAAAGAAATTGCTGGTAACCACAATATACTACATACAGACAGACTTTATTGCAATTCCCTATAAGGGTAAATAATGTACTGTATTTACCGTTTGCTTTATCTGTAGCGGTATATCGCTACATAATTTAAAGGAACAGTAAACAGCGAGCTCAAAATACTTCATTATCGCTCAAAATATCACTTCTCAGGTAAAAAGACGACAATTTAGTTCTCTCGAAAACCACACCCAATTCCAGACCAAAATGGGCAAAGTGTATACCCGTTTTCAGACCAAAACGGTGCAAAAACCCTACCCGATGGGGCGGCACATACCTATATAGCTTATATAAGGCTTAAAGGGAGTACTCCAGGGGAAAATACTAAGTTCTGTGTAGAAATGAAACAAGCCAGGGTCATAAAATAAGTTTTCTTGTCTTAAGCAAGGTAGTGAAATGGAGCACGAAGTTTTTTATAGAGCAAAGGGCCAGGGTTTAGGGTTCAAAGACCTCGTTAGCCTGCATAACACAACAGGCGATTTATGAGCCAAGCGAGGCGAACGCGGCGTTTTGCGCACAGCACGAGACGAGACGTAACTTCCTAGCACACATTAATTTGTTAGCTCCTCACACTAGACACATTTCTGAGCGATTTTTTATTTCAACAACAGAAATTTCTGAAAAAAGTACAATAGAACCCCATTATCCCGAACTGTGAATGGAAACGAAAAGCAGTTCCAGTTAGCAGTTCGATTTATCGGGGGTCGATTAAATATTCAATTTGCCATTTTGATAATTGATAAACTAGGTACTGATTTTCAGCATTTCAGTCGGTATAGCACAGTGCATATCAAACTTATTTCATTAGAAAAGGCTACATGATTACTTGCAGTTTGTGATAAAACGTGATCTGTTTGTGGCACCATGTAAAATCAGACTGCTGTAGTGTTAGTTTTAGTGTTTTTACCTGTTATACAACAAGAAGAGCTAATGGGATGATGGGATGGCATCCCAGTGGAGTTACATGATCTAGAATTCGAGTTATTGGCGCACTGATTTTAACTCAAATTTTTGGTAGGGAAAGGAAATTTAGTTCGGTTTGAGTTATATGAGTTCGAGTAAACCGAGTAAACATGACTGAAGAGTTTGGTGAAATCCAAGAGAAATGGGACTTGGTTCGAGTTAGCTAGAGGGGAATGCGAGTTATCTGAGTAATTCGAGTTATCGAGGTTCTACCGTCACTGTACCGTACAGACAACGGGGGAACAAGCTATTTCACATGCTCTTTAATTATTTGATGTATAATGTATAATTAAGATGGAAAGTAAGTGAGATTTTTCTCCTCGTCGATAATCTCTTGCATGGTTGGTCTCATGCTCGGAGTCTTCTGAAGGCATCTCCGTACCAGGCCCCTAAACTCAGTGTTCGTCCCAAGCGAGACTTGTACTTCACGCCTACTAGGATCTGGAAGTTCCCGGATGCACATTTCACATAGAAGAAGAACACCAAAGCTGTAAACATCAATCTGGCGTCAAAAGAAAATGATATGAAAATTACATGTAATATACAGTTCTATGGGTGTTTGAATTCTCTGCTACTACGTAAATTAAGCCAGAATAAATATTTTTTGCCAGGTTACACGGACGAGAAAAGCTGCTGGGTCAAGATCATGTCGGTATTCTTAATCATTAAGTTTTGATGCTTGTTCGCCGTGTCGAGCCGCGCTTGTTTACTCGTTTTGACAGAGGGTTACGTTTTCCATGGAAAAACAAACAAACAAAAACAAAGCATGCTTGGCCGCAAAAATCTTACTCAACCACATAAAAATAACCGCTTGATGCAAGAGAGGATAAAGGGGACAGAGAAGGCATCCTCCATACACACCCTATTCCATAGGTAATTCGTCTCGAGTTATTTTTAAGACACACAGATCCCAAGGGGGATTAGACAACAGCCAATCACATAGCGCGAATGTGTTCCGCGTGGATGACCCACCGTCAGAGCCACGCGTCCTTCACGAATTGACGCAGAAAAAAAGGCGGAAGACTCGGAGAGCGATATTGCTATTCGTTTTGTCGACGAAAATGACTAATGAGAGATTTCTGCTAAAGCGGTGTCAGCGAAATGGAGATTAAAAGGAAATCAGTCATTTCGGTCCAAATTGACTGTAATATATAAAAGAAGTACCTAAAGAGCTAACAGAAGTGATTTTTCTCCATTGTATAAAACTGTAACTGCCTACGGCTATTTCGCCAGAAATCAATCGTCCTTCAAAGTCTTTGACGAGTGTTCTAGCACGTTGTATGTATTAGCATGCCAGTTTTGTTTTCCATTGGCCTATAGCTACTTTATGCACTCAATAAAAGTTTCAGATATCAATAATGGTTTGAAGGAAGAATAGCTGAATAGCTCTCATTAGTGCTCTTTTGCATGCATCAGGTATAAAGTAGTTTACATTACAACCAGGCCAATAAAGATGACCGACCTTTGGGTGATTACGACCCCACCTGGGCCCAGTTGTTCGAAGGACGATTAGCGCTTAACCCAGGGTTAAATTTAACCCAGGTTTCTTGTTCTTTGGTTCGAAAGCATTCTCGGATAATTTTCTCTGTTATTTTTAATGAATCCAATCATCAACTTGTTGACAGAAAGTGTTAAACTGAATTTACTTTTTAAGCTTTCATCATGATCTGAATTCAAATTTCGCGCTAACCTTGGTTATCCGCTTAACTCAGCGTTTAACAACCCGGCCCTGGTGTTTACAAGGTGTTACTTAGACAGCCTTGAATCCTTTATTTTTTCAATGAGAACTAACCTTGACTGTTTGCTGTGGTGTAAGCGCCTCAGGTGCACTGTAAATCATAGCTCCAGGAGCCACTGTCATGTTCTGTTGCATGAAATTAGCAGTGCCATAATCTGACACTTTGCCTCTCCATTGGTCACCCTGTCGCCATAGCAACAACACATTAGCACTGCTGATATCCCGGTGAATGATGGGTACTGTTTTTTTTTTTATGCAGATAGTTAAGTCCACGAGCTACGTCCAGAGAAATGGCTCGTATTTCTCTTTCAGATAGTTGCCGCTGCTCTAGCAGAGTCCTCAAATTGTTTTCCATGAGCTCGGTTACAAACAGAGGCTTTCTTCGTAATTTGTGGCCCCGATAAACTGTAGTACACGGCTACAGCGCACCCACAATATACTCCTTCATAAACACTTCCCCAACCTCCCCTCCCAAGGCATTTGTCTGTCATCTGAATTTCGTGGCGAGCAATGATCCAGTCACAGTCTCTCAACTGCCTATGTGAAGTTTCTTCTCGTTGCTGTATCTCTCTCAACTGCCTTTGCGAATTTTCTTCTCGTCGTTGCATCTCTCTCAACTGCCTTTGTGAATTTTCTTCTCGTCGTTGCATCTCTCTCAACTGCCTTTGTGAATTTTCTTCGCGTTGCTGTATCTCTCTCAACTGCCTTTGTGAATTTTCTTCTCGTTCCTGCATTTCTCTTAACTGCCTTTGTGAATTTTCTTCTCGTTGCTGTATCTCTCTTAACTGCCTTTGAGAATTTTGGTCTCGTTCCTGCATTTCCCATAACTGCCTTTGAGAGTTTTCTGCGCGATGTTGCATCTCCTCTAACTGCTTTATTGAATTTTCTTCTCGTAGCTGCATTTCTGTTAATTGCCTTTGTGAATATTCCACACTTTTCTGCATTTCCATTAACTGCCTTTGAGAGTTTTCCTCGCGTTGTTGCATTTCCCTTAACTGCCTTTGAGAATTCTCTTCGCGTTTCCTCATCTTCCTCATCTGCTCTGGCCAGTTTCCCTCCTGTTTCTGCAGTTCCCGTAATTGCCTTTTTAGATTTTCCTCTCGTAGATCTTGCATTTTCAATTGTGCTGCAAAGAGTTAAGCGCAAAAAGTGTCAATCAAATCAGCCAAGAAGAAATAGTTAAATTTAAGCAATCTTACGCTAACCGTCAGTGCGTGAGAACGTCACGTATAAGAAAACACTAAAAATATTGTAAAAAATCGCTGTGAATATGCACTTGTATTTTGATTCATAGTCTTTGAGCCCTGGTCAAGGATTGTAATTTTTCCGCTTCTTAGATGAACCCTGCATTTGCTGTGTTACCAAGAGAAAGTATTACCCGCGATTATATTCTAGATGTATTAGTTCACTGACAGCTCAGATACCGAGATTGGGGTGCCTGTGATCCAGATTGAAATTTTGGGTCTGATGAATAAGTGGAAAACAATTTCTGCCAGTGATTCCTTTAAACACCGAATTGACATAACGATACTATATTCAATATATTCGTCTCTAGTTTGAACCAAAATTTGGATCCGTTTCTAATATGTAGAGTCAGTATACTGTGCTAACATTATGGATAGCTCCTCAGAGAAATGTTCTACAGTTGGTAAAGGATTTAATGGAGCCGAAACCAATTGTGGAATTGCACACATTTTAGGCATCCTACTGATGAAAAGTTACTGCTTTTACTCCGTAGATAACTTTACACGCATCAGCAATTATTTGCGGTCTATTCCCTTCTCTTCATGATCAGAATTTGCGAAGTTTACTTTTCTATTGAAGACTACAAGTTGTTTGTCAGTATACGTAAGTTTAAGGGGCACAACTAGTTTACCTAGACATACCCCTCGCCTCTCCTTCCTATTTACTATGTGATTTAATTAATTTAAGTATTCTAATTTTGTGCTTTTACATTCTTTGTAAATTTATTAGTTACTTAATTTTTAACCTTACATGTATATTTAATTCTATATTTCCATTTGCTAATGTTTGCAGAAACAAATAAAAGATGAAATTTGCTAAGTTTTATCATCCAGTCTTACCTTTGACAGAAACAGGCAGCTCATCAATAAAGAACTGAATATCATCTGGATTAGCATCTTTAAGATGGATGGTTACATTGGGTGGGTTTCCAGCGAAGGGATGCATGTATTGTAATCTGCTTATAGTAACTGACGTATTGGTAACATTCATTGAACTCTGAGCCATAATGTCAAACTGAAACAGATTAAGACCAGTTTTATTTTTTCCACCGGAACCCATAGCCAGTAGACTATGAGATTCAGATAATCCTAATTTTACTAAGAATTGCTGATCCATAGTCTAAAGAACCCTTGCACAGAGGCGAGCGCCACACGAGAGTGACTGATGACAAAGCGCAAGGGACCACGGGAAGGAGAAAAACGGAGGTCCGTTTTTTCTTTCCCGCCTTTCGTTGCGCACAAATTTTCGTCGAGAGAGAGACGTTTGGTACGAGGCAGAAAGGAAACCTGTGACGGGGCCTACACCAGGTTACGCCCACAAAGAAAACAGAGACAATCGACCTAGAGCCTAGGAAAATAAAATTAAGGCACAAAATAAGGATAAGTTACACAGGTTCGTACCGATGTAAACCCATATTTTAAAGAAGCCTTTTACAATTTGATAATGATATACAATACAAGGATACGAAAATGTGCGAAAACAGGAGCCCATCACTAGGCTTCTGTAAAAAATGACTTTAACTACATTTTCAGAGAGCTGAAAGGGGCTCAAAACGACGAGGTTTTGATGTTTTTAACTCTCTTAGATATATTTTATCATGAGAGACTGAGCTGATTTTATGGGATTAATATTTAATTTTAGCGCATTATTTTATATTGACTTTAAATGTTTAAAGAAATAGATGAAATGACGGGAAAGGTCTTCGAGAACCCCGAGGACCGGCAGATTATGATGGTACAGGTGTGGTTAGTGGAACAAGATTTTCTTTCTAACTTTCTAATCAAAGAACATTATTTTATCGAGTTTTTCCTTGGCCTCTTTGATTAAACTGTACTCATGGGGATATGCTTGAGAAAGAACCTCGTTCCCAGGGTTCCCTCCTTGCTTGAAAGGTTCTTCAATGGTCTTGTCCCCTGCAAATGATGACGGCAAAAGTGGGACTTATATTCACTTTTTTTTGGAAATATTTACCTACTACCGTAAATCTTCTATCAAACCCCCCCTTCCCAAATACGCTTCCTCTCTAAAAAGCCTCCTTTTCAGGGAAAGGAGATTAATAATACCGCCATTCTTTTAAGCTCGTCTCCTCTCCCTTCGCCCTTGTCATTGTTCTGTAAAACTTCATTTGGAGGATCCGGGATTATTTGTTCACGCGTTAGAAGTTCTGATTCGTACTCAGTGATCCTCGGCTGCATAACCTCTAACTTCTTGTACTTGTGTTTTCCACTTTGCATTCTAGTTCTTCCGGTGGACTGATACCATCTCATGTAAACCCCCCCGTCTCGATTAAGCCCCCCAAAAATGTATTTGAAATAAGTTTGCCCGGGGGGGAAGTTTAATAGCGGACTTACGGTATGATTATTTTCAGAACAGCGCTTGAATATTTCTTAGGTTAACTTAACGTGCATGAGTTCTCTTTCATTTAATTTTCCCTCAGTGCACGGTTTTTTTAGTACTTTGCCCCCCCTCCCCTCTCCACCATGAAGTTTTCTAATGGTCCGTACCTAAACTGAGTGTATTGATTGACCGATTCATTTTGTCAGCATCTGTTTGTGCTTGCAAATTTTGTTTGATACCGAAGGTATTAAAAAACTTGTTACAACTCGATCAGGGTAGTTATTAGATTGTGTACAGACTAGAGGACATTTATTTTCCGGTAGAATTAAAAATGCTATTCTCTATTGCCACTGCTTGTCATCAATGTAAACCTCCGAAACCGATTAAACAAAGATGTCCTGCGTAGAAACCTGTGTAGGTGATCGGTGAAGGCGATTAAAACGAATTTATGAAAACGCTCCTAACATGACGATCATTACAGTTCGTTGTTATTATTAATATAATTAATCATGATAACTTTAGGCAAGTTTACCGATCTCAGCGTAAAACTTTTTCAAGAGTTTTTTCAAGACTTTATGTAAAATCGTCTCTGGGCTTTTTTGTCGTCACGTAAGCCGCTATGAAATGTATTTTCAAAATAAGACATTTACCGAAGTTTATCTAAGCGGTTATCAACTCCAAGCCCAATTTACTTTTAACAATGATTGTTCATAATTTATTAAGCGATAAATAACTTAAGCTTGCATAAAAGAATTTAAACGTGATGTTCAGCATAGTAAATAAATGAGGTTGTAAGCTTACTACTTACTTCAATATATCCTGCTTTGCTGACGAGAAACTTGAATTCGTTCTTCCACGGATACAAATGATGAAGTTCCACTGAGCCAGGTTCTAAGTCATCTTTACCTGTCCACGATACGTTTCCTGACACTTCACAAATTGTAGTTTGTAAAAAATCCATTTTATTACCTTGAAGCTTGAGCGTCCTAAAAACAGTCATCCACAACCGGAAGAGGAAGCGAAACACGAACAGAAAACGAAAGATTGGAAAGGGGATTTTCCTCAGATGGACGAAATATATCGGGTTGCAAGAAATAGACGATAGTTCAACCTCTCTTTCCATAAAGCAAAGTAGTGAGCATATCATATCATATCCTAACATATATCATATCATATCTCATATATCATATAAGGGCAACCTTTGATATTTCTTCTTTTTCAATTCTTAATCCGTGAGACCAAGGAATGTCACAATTTATGCTAACATAATTTGTAATGCCGTGAAACTTTTGAACCCAGGAGTCATTTCAAAAGTAGGTTGAGTTTGATCGTCCAGGTGAACGTAGTCCTGAATAGGACTGTTGTTGTTGACAGTGACTGACGTTTCGACAACCTGTGCGGTGGCATCTTCAGAGTCAAAGTGAGTTCTATCACGTCAGTTGATGGTATTATACTCTGGTTATTGATCTGATTGGTCAATTACGTCGCGATGTTATTAGTCGTCTGTCAGTTAAGCCGTGATGTCATTGGCTATGAAGACTCGTAATCAGTAATTGGTGCGTTTCGTTCCGTCTTTTGTCATAGTCAAACAGTCGTCTATTGTTAGTCGTAGTTAGCAAAACTAACTACGAGAAAACGACTGGAGAACTGACAATTTGACTAACATCTTTTCAAGTGGGGGGATAACAGGTCATTTTCATATGTGAGGATTTCATGTTTTCGCACGAAAGCTCACCTGGTATTTCTTTGTTGTTCACATAATATATTTATCATACCTTAAGGCAATTTGTTACACTGCGCATGCGCATGGTGCCCAGTGTTACCTGCGTGCCTACGCTTGTCTCCCTGGGTCTGCTCCTGAAAGGCCGATTAGTGTTAATCCAGGATTAAAATTTTCAGTGGCACGTTTTTGTATTTTACCTTCCAAAGTATTGCTGTATCTAACTGGGGGTAAAGGCTCATCAGTATGCTGTAAGCTCCAGTTGCATGCTCGTAGACAAGAAAACTTTGCGTCAAATTTAGTCTAATCCTAGGTTAAACGTCACCATCCCTCGAGGAACCGGAACCTGGTGGTTAAATATGTGCAGCAGAGCACCTGAGTCGAAAATTTATTTTGTCGAGCAGCCTCAACATTTTCACCTCTGAAAACAAAAAATGGTGAACATGAAAATGTTGTGAAGCAGCTTAAACAAGTTCAAACTCTTCACCAGATATCACAATCATGTTGTGAGAGGGGGACAGTTAAAAACCCGAATCACATCAAGCCGGGCACATGTACAACACATGGAGTCTGTTTCTTAAAACTTCCGAAAACACTGATTTTGAAGTACACAAACTTCATTGGCAGAAATGATTTCAAATTTTTACAAGATCGATATTTATTTACTTTTCACAAAAATACTATCAAGGATCGGCCACTCGTCCCAGCTGCGACAGTCAAATCTCACATGACTTGAAAACTTCAAACGAAAGTTATTAAGCGGCCTATTTAATGCCATAAAAAACAAGTTCTTCACAAAAACGACAAATATGTAACTTTTTTACGATGAAATTCTTAACTATTTACATTTAAGTTGTATTCTTCACTACCGACAACTACTTGATTACTCCCTCTTTTTGCATCACCAATTCCTCGCTACCGGTCACTACTGTGTAATTTTATTCTTTTGTTACAAAAAATCGACTTCTATGCAAAGAAACTTCATTATAGAAATTACACGCGTAACTAACAGGAAAATGCCGTAACTTTAACGTTACTTGTCTGTGAGGTACAAATAAACAAACTTAATAAAAGTACAATTCTCCACTAAAATACCTAATTACCATAAAAATTGATTGGTGAATGATGTCATCTTATAAGTGGATGGAGAATGATCATCCGGGTGAACGAGGTCCTCTCACTTTGATTCTGAAGATGACTACTGCACACGTCAGGTTTTCAAACGTCAGTCACCATAAACAACAGTCATATTCAGGACTACGCTCCCCCTGACGATCTTGCTCCACCTAATTACAAATTGTTTTCTTTACGAAATGTGCTTACTATATGTTTATCGTACAGTATACTTAATAACAAATACCTAATTACTACGTAATACTACGAAAATTGGAAATTTATCCGTGCACTTATTTGCTACAAATATCAAACTACTACACTAAAACTACCTCAATGTAATACCGTGTTTTTAAGTACTAGCTCTTTACTACAAATACCTGACTTATACCGAAATTGCATTTCTCAAGACAAATTATCAAATTCCTAATTGCATTTGTCACTGCAACAAACTAAGAGCTATGTAAGCCCTCGCGTATATAGCCGCCTTTATCAGACTATTACAACCGGAATTACTTAAACCTAACTCATGTCCAGACATTCAGCGTAAAATGTTCATTGCAAGCTGTCGCTATTTTTTCTACTATATTTTTTCAGCAGAATGTTCTTACAAATTGCGAATTATCAATCACATTGCATACCGTTGATTTGACAGTTAAGAATTTGCATCGAATTCTTTCAGTTGATCGATTATCTCCTGCATGGTTGGTCTCGCCCCAGGCTCTCTCTGCAGGCATCGTCGTACCAGGCCACGAAACGCACTATTTGTTACAAGCACCACTTGTTCTTCACGCCTTCGAGGATCTGGAAGTTGCCGGATGCACATTTCACAAAGAAGAACACCAAAGCTGTAAACATCAACCTAACAACAATACATCATTTGAATAAGTCAATATTTTTTCCCTGGGATGTCTGAGACATATTACGGTTAAAGTCCGGGGCAGTTGAGCACCGCAGCCCAACTGAGTGAACTGAGACAAGTTCCATTTGGAGACACCAGAACCAACTATGCAATGGTTTAAGAGGATGACTAAAAACTAAGAAGCGTGGAAGAGGAAAGAATTTGAGCGCGCAAGAGCTTGTAGAGGAACAAGACAGGACGGGCCCCAATGATAACAATGGAAAGAGGAAACCACGGCCGATACGTTGCAAGAAAAGAAATTTAAACTGAAGGTGGATTCGGGGATGAGCAAGGGTCACAAGAGGCACGCGTTTACTCTACAGAATAACTGGGTCCGGACTAGTCAAAAAAGTTGTACGGTACCGATAACTTTAGCAGAGAAAAACTAGAGTTTTTGCAAGGCCACAGGCACCTGGAGACTTGTGAAAACTCTGGTATTTCTTTACAAATGTTGTCGGAGCCGAAACACTTCTATGACTGATCCAGACCAAACACTTCGCAAATATTAGCATTGCTGTACATTTGTAAATTCAACAGTCTTTGAAATTCTCGAAAATTCAATAAAACTAACCTTCACTGTCTGGCTTGATGTAAGTGCTTCAGGTGCGCTGTAAATCATAGCTCCAGGAGCCACTGTCATGGTCTGCTGTATGACATTAGCAGTGCCGTAATCTGAAACTTTGCCTCTCCATTGGTCACCTTGTCGCCATAGCAACACATTAGCACTACTGACGTCACGATGAATAATGGATTCTGGCTTCTTCTGATGAAGGTAGTTCAGCGCAAGAGCAACATCCAGAGAAATGACGGCTATTTCCGTTTCGGAGAGTTGTCGCTGTTCCAGCAGCGTCCGCAGACTTTTCTCCATCAGCTCGGTGACAAATAGCGGAGTTCCCTCATCTTTCGTGGCGCCAATAAACTGTAGCAAGTGAGGATGGCGGCACTTGGATGCAATATTCATTTCTCTCTCAAAAAGATGTATGTTATGAGGGGAGAGAATCAGATCATGAATTTGCTTTACTGCTACAGTACAGCCACAATACGTTCCCTCATTGACACTTCCCCATCCTCCCCTCCCTAGGCATTTCTCTGTGATTTGGATTTCGTCGCGGGGAATAACCCAGTCACGTGTTTCCTGGCTCCGTAATTGATTTATTGTTAGCTGAGCTGTTGAAAGACTTAACTGTAGTTCAGTAACTTGTTCTTGGACATTTCTCAACTGTCTCTGAGAATTTTCTTCACGTTGCTGAAACTCTGTTAGCTGCCTTTGAGAATTTTGTTCCTGTTCTCGAACCTCTCTAAGTTCCCGCTGCAAATTTTGCTCACTTTGCCGCGACTCCGTCAGCTGCCTTTGAGAGATTTGTTCCCGTTCTTGAAGCTCTCTGTGTTGCCGCTGAAGCTGTCTGAACTGTCTCTGTAAATTCTCTTCGCGTTGCTGCACATCTCTTAACTGCCTTTGGAAATTTTCTTCACGTTGCTGAAAATCCCTCAACTGTCTTTCTAATTCTGAAGTACGGCTTGTCGAGTTTGCTTCGCGTAGATCATGCATTTTTTCTGAAAGCAAAATCACGCGAGTAACGTGGGCAAACAGACTACGTTTTACCAGGAGCATATGGTTTTACCTAACAGAAAACACACTGCATGTCTTCTCTTAAAACTGAGTGACAACTGTGCATAAACGAAAATTGATAAAGAAGATGAAATTTACAATAGTTCCTTTCGCCCAATTGTAACTAAACATTGCTTGTTTGTAAAACGTCCTCAGCTTACAAAACTGAGTTACAACCCTATGGCAACTGATTTTTGCCCCCCCCCCTCGCCTTTTTTATTAATTATTTTTTTCCAATGTTAGAAATGTCATTAGTCGGGAAGGTGCGGAGAGACGAAGATTATGGCGCCAATTGACGCGAAATTTAAAAACATCTGAAGCAAAATGTAACATGAACTCGTAATGTAAAAACTTTTAATGCAAAATGCAAAAACTTTTTAACGCAAAATATAACAAGTTTTGGACGCAAATTGTAACAACGTTTTATTAAAGCGAGATGTGACAATGTAAAATATAAAAACTAAACTCTTCAACTATTAAAAGAAGTCAGAGTAAAAACTTCGTCACTTCTATACCGATAATTACATGTACTGGAAAAGTGTCTAGGGAATATTTTTTTCTCGTGCACTCTTTATTGCAAGGCACATAAGAGGTGTCTAAAAACAGACATTCATGTCCTTTTACACAGACTGAAAAAAAGAATCGTGAATCTATATCCTATCCTGCGGTGAAGCAGGACATTTCACTCACAACCTGGATAAATCTTAGTAAAAACTCAGTAAACTGGGACTACATACCGGCTGTGTTTTGACCAAAATCTAAAGCTATGCAATGTCACGTTAACTATAAGCACAACGTACCCTTTACCCTTAAGTGTGCAAAGAAATATTCATTGCTTTAGAACACCTTGATGGCGGGTCACAATTCTAAAAAAGGAGGCTTAAACACTGGACAGGTTTTCTACATCTAAACAGCTTAAAATTTGTTACATTTTGCATTGCAACATTTCGCGCAAAAGAAGTTGTTGCGTTTTGCGCTAAAAATTTGTTACGCTTTGCGTTATATTACTGCTACATTTTGTTCAAAAAACCTGCTAATGCTTAATGTTATTACATTTTGCGTTAATTCTATCAATTATAATATATAGCGGCGTGACAGACACGGAAAGGCCGAAAGTGGACCAAATTTAAAAGTGTTTAGAACGCGATTTTGCTTGACACCGTTTATAAAACCCTGTTTTTACACAGTTAAACCTCCCTACAACGGCCACCTTAGGAAAAGAAGAAGGTGGACGTTGTAAAGAGGTTTTAAACGAGTCAATGTATGGATTTTTTGTCTGCTGGGACAAAAAAAAGTGGCCGTTATAGAGAGGTGGCCGTTAGTGGGGGTTCGACTGTAACTGGCTCATCATTGAGTCTGAAAATTTCACTTAACATTTTAAATATTACGGCCCCGTTATCACTGCACATGTACTAAGGTTTGATTATGTCTTTAAATTCAAAAATCAAAACCTACAGTCTATTTAACTACCCACACCAACAGCTTGGGCTACCTGTATCACTGCATGACTACACGTACGTGTTTAACCGTACGTCTTAAAATTCAAAAACCAAAACCAATCTAACTAGTCACACCATACGCTTGGGCGACCTGTATCATTGTCTGACTTCCTGTACGGGTTTAACCCAGGGGCACCCAACGAAGATATAGTTCAAAACCACTTAACAAAGCATTGTTGAACGTATTTTAGCGTTTAAACGGTAGATATAGGAAAAACTTTTCACCTGTTCGGATTTCCTAGCTGAAAGTCTAGTGATCCGAAAATTATAGGGATCAAAACTTACCTTTTCGAAAATTTCAGCCAGGAAAAGGCTCCCGAAAATTCTAGGTGGCCTTTTTTAGGGTAAAAATCCGTTAAAAATGGGTAATTATACCATTTTGTAGATGTTCGAAAATCCTAGGAGAGGCAGGCAAGCAAGAAATTTTACAATAAATGTTCCCAAAATTCTAGATCTCAAATCGTCTTCCGAACAGATATTTTCCGAAAATTGCCGTTGGGTGCCCCTGTTAACCACCAAACTAACTACTGAACTCTCGCCATAAGCTTGATCTGCCTGTATTTGTAAACTAAATGACTTACAGCTAGAGGTTCAACCATGTGCCTCTTTGTTCCAAAACCAAAATAAAAAAAAAGTATTAGAAATTACATTCATACTCTTAGTCTTACCTTTGATAGAGGAGGGCAACTTTTCAATAAAACGCTGAAGCTCATTTGGATCAGTATCTTTTAGTTGAACAGTTTGTCCTTGTGAAAAAGGATATGTCCATTGTTGTAGCTCACTAATCGTAACTGTATCCTTAGTGACCTTCATTGTAGATTCAGGTATAATTTCAAACTAAAACGGTAAGGAAAGATAATGATAAGTAATACAGTCAAACCTGTATAAAAGGGACACAGTCAGCTGATGCATATGCGCATTAGATACCATTTCTTAGCTGATTTGCATGTCACAAGACACGCGCGTGAAACAGAAAGTGAGAAGCGTATCCGGAATACTCAAAACAAAACTTGTTGAGTTTAAAGGAACAGTATCCCGTTACTGCGCATGCACCAAACTTTGATTTTTGGACAGGATGTCGCGAAATCAAAAGATGAGAGGAGAGTAAGAGAACCTTGAAAAATCCGTTTGCATCGGGCTTGGCCGAGTTCAATACTACACTAAAACTTCTCAGGATTACAGATCAATGATATATTGTTCCTGTTAAGTTTCGATTTGGGCCAAATCTGGATTTTTTGGTGTTACTTTTATTGCCTTGGCCGGAGGACCAAAAGATGGGAAGCGCTTTGATGCCGATTGAAGGCTTATTTCTTCTGCTAGCTTCCATACGAGCTCAGATAACTGTGAAAGGAATACGCAGAAATGAAACAGTAACAATAAAGACTGTAAGAAAGAAATCATTGAGACATTGATGTGACTGAGGAGATCTTGTGGAGGGGAGCTTCGTGAAGCAGAATGTTTTGCAACGACGCGTTATGACTCTCCCTAGCGGCCGACAAAATCAAACAAACAGGCGTACATGTTTAGAAAAACTAGTTCCATTAAATCATAATATGATTTTTGACTAACATTTGCGATGATTCATAGCGTTGAGATTGCATTTTTATTTATGTCATTCCAACGTTTGAGGCTAGAACGCGAGCAAGTCAGGACTTGACTGTTCCTTATAATAGAAAATCAAAACTAAGAGGCAATCAACGGGATGGTTTGTGGCTGGCACGTATGAATCTTGCTACGCATCCCTGCCGCTCGAATACTGTGGGATTTTAATTTTCTTCGACGGCTAGCTCCGGGCTGTTTGGGTGGATTTTCGATTGGAAGGTACGAGGAGAAACGTGAATCTTTCGACCTTTTTGCTACGGAGTTTGAGAGCGGAGCTATGCGATTTTGGGGGAAAAAATCGCTCCGGCACTGGAGCCCTTTCAAAACATGGATTCCACCCTTGTCCTTCTATTATAAGGAACAGTCGACGGCGAATTCAAACTCCTTCAAAATCGCTCAAAAAACCGGTTTTGAGGTAAAAGGACAACTATATAGCACAGGTAAGGTAATTCAGCGTTTATTTATCATTGATTTATATACATAGTTAGCGACATATCGCTATAGGTGAGGCAAACGGTAAATCCAGAACATTTACTATAAAATAACAATCGGCTACACAAACAGATTGTGCGGGCTCCCTGTGGTCTCACGCTCTCAAGAGTTGGCAAGTGATTTCTCACGCTTTCTTGAAAAGTCTAGCCTGCGAACAGCAGACGCATTTCCGGAAATGCGTCTGCTGTTCGCAGGCTATGAAAAGTCAAACTCCACGAAATTTTGGAGCTGTAGGGTTCGTTTCCAAGAAAGATATCAATAGAAAGACAGCTCAACCCAAAGAAAACGGTCATAGAATATCATCAAATCCGACTATTCTTTTAGCCTACAGCGCAACTTGCCGCTGCCACCAAATGTGGAGACTTACTGTTTCTCTTGTTTCAAGATGGCGTCAACAAAGCATAGAAATTACAAAACCTAAATCGTAAAATTGATCGTAATTTTTACTACTCCGGCTTTAAAGTGACTTCTTTTGGGACATCTCACGTCTTTTTACCCATTTCTCACTACTTTTCCCAGCCCTAGGTTCAGAATCTTACATTTTTTGCCTTTTGGGGATTGGCAAGTCTGTAAAAGACCACGAAACGCCCTACACTTACACAGTGTATCCTTTTGCTCTAGTATGGCACATTTTGTCAAAGGAATAGTTTAATAGAGGTAAAGACACTAACAAATTACTCATTGGGACCGCGAAAACAGGTGACTACGGCTGCTTAATAATTCAGATCAGTTTTTACAATTAAGGGAAGCTATTTCCAGGACTTTAATTGGTGACCGCTTATAGAGGTCCGCCTAATACAGGTTTGACTATAGAGGCAGTTACAGTAAACACCCGCTAATAAGAACCTGTGGTTAAGAACCTCCTGGCAGAAATCTGCACTTTAATACCTAAGAATACAAGAACTTGTTTAGGCAAACACAATCAAGCAGGTTCTTATATGTAATTAATTTTTACAGTTAAATTATGATAAACAATTTAACAAAGGAGTGTAACTTTGAGTTGTAAATTTAAGTACAACAGAAACATACTGTACTAAACTGCATGACATTCGGTAATAAGTTTTGTTGGGGTTATCATAATTGTGAATAAACAGAAAATTTATTTATTTTTCTCGTTATCAACAATCTATTATGTCCTATATAAAAAATACTTGTAAGAACTTAATTAAGAACGTACCTGACCGAAATTGCCAATAAGTACCCCAAGAACAAGAACCTACTTCAAAAAAAGGGACCTTCTTATCAGCGGGCGTTTCCGGTACCATAAAACAACAACTGAAAACAACCATATTCTCACCCCATTTAACCATAGCC